CGGAATACAATACAAAAGCGGAAGGCCACAGTTCATATCCGGAATAGACAAAAGCCCGGAAAGAATTAATGTCTCTGAGCTTTTACGCATTGCGCTTATCTTCAATACCTTATGATCATTTTTTTTACTTATTACACTCATCCATAACCGAGATGAATTATTATCCTCTTTATTGAATATTACGTTATTAACTTCTTTTGTATTTCTACTTGGAAATGATGATTTGGACGAATAATATTTAAAAAAATTCTCGTATGCAATTTTTGGAATAATTCTTTTTTAAGTGCGTTAAAGCTTAAGGTGTTTTTATTCCATCAGGTCCTATCAAAAAGAAATAACAATAAAAGTCAATTTTTTTTTAACAACGTATTCACTATTAATGCATTTACGTTATATAATTTTTTTTTACGAAAATGTAAAGAATCAATTTTGAGTGAATGTCAAAAAATCTAGTTTTGTAGTCAATTATCATTGATTTAAATGAAGACAACAATGAGCTTTGATTATTAAATTTTCATTTCAATAATAATTATATATTAAAATCTCTCCATTATTTTTTAACAATTAGAAAAATGGATTAATATACTCCAGATTATTTTTAATTGAACAATGTTAACTATGTGACTCAAAATCTGTTCGTTAGAGCTACTAGAGCTCTTAATTAGACTCAATTGATCCAATTCCAATGAAAACGAAAAAATTCATTTGGTTATTAGAATACCACTTTTTTTTATTCAACTATGCAATCAACAATGTCCATCAATAAATCATTGCAAATGAAAAAATTCATACAAATATTTTAACTGAATCATAAATAAATTTTGAAATAAATCTTTAAAAACTTTATAAAAATAGATAATAGAAAATTTCGTTATAATATAATTTAAAGAATAAAAAGAAATTTTTCCAATGTGTATTTGCTCTGAAGTCTATTGTGAGAGGGAAACAATAAACCGTAAGTTTGCAGAGCTTCCTCCATTCCGGAATTACATCGTTCACTCTTCAAACTGCTAACACATTTGACGATCGATGGATACAAGTACTTAGAAGCACCGTTAGAAAGAGATTGTAAACACGAGAGAGTGAAATCTCTATACGCAGAAATAAATGAAACTATAATACAATGTCCTCGCTTATCATCTAAAATTCATTTTTACAAAATAATTTAATTTTCTTATAGTTTTATATTTTTCTCGTATCTTCATTTCTACTATTGTTTGATAGACAAAAAAATATCATTTATTAAAAATCCATGCCATTTTTTAGTAAAACATATTAAACTCAGTAGTAAAGGTCGACGAGTTCTCGTCCATGTCTGACCGTAAATGTCTATCTCTACTAGCAAATTCAATTTACTCGTTCAAGTAATTCATCTCTATGTATATTTTACTTTTCTATACGTACACTTTGACACTTTTTATTACTCAACTATATACATATATATATATATATATCTATATATATATATATATATACATCTATAACATTATATAAAACTTCGACAACCGATTCGCAACTGCTGCCGGTTTATTTCGCCTATAGCATGACAAAATTGAATAAAGCTTCAACTTCACATCGAATGTGACGGACTATTACCAAGGCAAAAACTCTAAAAAATTATTTACAAATTTTCTGAATATATATATTTTTTTTTGTCCACTATTTCGCGTAATAAATTTATCTCAGTATTAACAAAGCCCTGTCAATTAGTAGATTAAAAAGTGAGTGAAACAGAAATGTTAAAAAACGTTTTTCTTTTGTTTATTTTACTTGGTAATTGATGTATTGAGCGTATCTATATCAATTAGGATGCAAAAAATTTGAAACTTAAATATCAATTTTATAAAACTCTATAGAATTGATTTATCAAAAGTATCCCCTTTAATATAGATAATTTATTAAAAATAAATAAAATGTTTCAATATTATTTTAAAATTAATGAATCTATCAGTCATACCTTGACATTTAAAAAAAATTCAATTTATCAATTTATAAAACCGAAATGTTGTTTGAAAAATATATTAAAAAACGATTTATCCAAATAGATCAAAAGATCGGGAATCTTTACCCATAAAATCCATGCATTTCAAAGTTCGAATAGAACTCTCTTAGGATTTTACCACAGTGTGTACATGTAAATGTATGTAGACGAAACTTTCGTCAGCAATATTTTAAGGAAATTTCGAAAAACTTTCATTCAAAATCTCTTTTAACATGCATCTCGAAATAACTTATAATCGATTGAATTGAAAGTTGAATTGATGTAAAAACTCAAAAGATAGTTACAAAAAAATCGTTCGTTTTAGTAAAAAAAAATAAATAAATAAATTTAATGAAATGATCAATTTTATTATTTATTTTTATTTGAAGTTGTTATATTTAATAAATATTTAAAAATTTTTACATTTATTGCAATTTTATTCGCTTGATAAATTATTGCCTCATATTGAATTATTCTTTTTTTAAAGAATCAAATATTTCATTGGACTTTTCTAGCTTTTTTTATCCGTTTCAAGGAAACTTGAATGATACTATTACTCGTAGTGGCTAGTAGAATGACTAAACTTGAAAAAAGATTACATTAACGTTTCCAAGACGTCAGCCAATCGTACATGAAAAATGAGATTGAATGCATGGATAATAATTTAAAAACTAAGTCTCATCATGATGAAAGAGATTATAAGATTTACAGAATATTTGAAAAATCACTTAAAATAAATAAAATGATATTGTCCATATATTTAGAGGAAATAAATTACAAATCTAGACATAATTGTGTTTAATCAATTATATTCCCATTATAATTGATTATCTTTGAATAAATTAATATACTTTTCACTCAAAGCCACTCAGTTTTCTCTCGAAATGTTAACCTACTAGAAAACTTGGAGAACTTTGATGTACATATTTATGTGTATTTACGTTTTCACCTTTACACAAAACATAGAGATAAAATCCTTGAGCGAAGAAAAATCAGTGTCGAGGACATCCTCAAGCCTCACATCCAATAATTTCTCGTGTTCTATTTTTCTTTGCATTTTTTTTTTCTCTACTCTTCATTTCCTGCATCTGACGTTTCGAAATGAGATTTTTTATCTTTGTAAAAAAGCTTTACAGCGTTATTTATTTTTTTTTTCATCGTTCTCCCTTTCTAAAAACCAAAGTCATAGGTAATGACAAGACGTCGGAATTATTATTGTCTTATCTAAAAAGAATAAAGGAGATCAAGTTGATAACAAAAAAATAATTTTCTTTTCTATCTAGTAACTTACTGACAGACAAATACTTTTCTTTCTCTTCAATCATATCTTCTAAATTAATCATCTTTCTTCATCTCATATTTTTCTTCTTATTAAATATTTATTTAATGAACATTATTTTAAATTTATTTCATCAAATAGTCATATTTTTCATCATTTCCAATTTTTTTTTTTACATATTAAAAGTACTTCCTCAGTGAAATCCTACAAATCCTCTCGAATTATTTTACTTCGTAGAGCCAACATTAAAAGTTAACCATTTATTTTACCAACTATAACAACTTGACTCAGTAAATATTTCTTAAAATATTCACACCCGAAATAACTTGAAATTTTGAACCGAAAAGGTGTCGACATAAAGTTTACTTTTACCATATGAATAGGTACAGTTAACTACTAAGTAGAGAAATAACCACAGAAGTGATTAGATCAGATGAAAAGTACTCACAGAACTTTCGGTTTATTGCTCCACACACTAGATCTCAACACGAGTACCATTACATTAAGATTCTATCGGCATCGTTTTGCCATTGGGTTCACGTAATAATTCCCATTTTACAGATATTTATCCGGACGTGTATTTATGTTAATCGTATTTCCGGCGCAAAATAATTCAGGAATTCCCTTCGCGCATACTTGATCGTGATTACAGCTATAACTTTCAAGTGGATAAAGCTCTAAATATTAATTCGAAATTCTGTAGATTAAATTTGAAAAGTTTTTTTTTCAGTTAGAAATAGCTCCTTGTAAACACTTCAAACTTTTACATTTATTTCCATTAAACATTTATTATTATTGAATAAGTTTCCTAGTACCATCGACTTTATGAGCTATAAATTTTTTTTTTCTTTTTATTTTTAATTACCAGATTTTAAACACTCAATTTAATCATATGATTTTTTCTTTTTAATTATGAAAAATGTATAGAATTTTTTTTTATCATGTTTCCTAATAATTTAACCATTTTTCGTTATTTTTATATTGAGATAAAAACATTTAGTGTAACTTTTAAAAAAAAACACTAAATTAGAAAGAAAGAAGTATGTAAAATTTGATATACAAACATATTTTTTTTTATTTACTTTTTTAAGTGAAAAATTTTCTAAAGGAGTAATTAACAAATCAAATAGTTACCATGTTTTCATAAAATTAATTCACATAGATTTAATACAACTTAAATTTCAAAATGAAATTTGAATGTTAGTTTACATTGAAAACAATTCATTATCGAGTAAATGAAATGAAAGCAGTAATTTATTGTATATAAATTGTTATATTATGAAGATTGTCAAGAAATCAACTAAGAAAGTAGAGTTCAGTGCTTTACTGAATTCACTAGAATACTGAAAAGTGAGAAAAGATAAATGTATCTAGGTTGTCAAGTAAAATACGTTTTGAAACAACTTCATCAAACAATATCAAATAAAATTATGTATAGCTTTAAAAGTTATATTTCAAAAATAAAGCTTGACTTTAAGTTTTTAATAATATAAAATTTTCTCATTCATTGTTATGTCACCTCAAGTCAAACTTCACAATTTATAATTTTTATTGAATAATCTCACTTGAATTATTTTAATTTTTTATTAATTTTAATTCATTATTGTTTATAATAGCAATAAAAAATATTTTAAATTATTACATAATTACTTTAAAAAAAGAATAAACAATTTTAATTAGTAAGACTGAAATGATTCCCTTTCTCAAGTACTAAAGAGAAAATATTCTTGACTGTTACAGAAGCTCAGAGTTTAACATGTCCAGAAGATAGTATAGCAACAGAAGATGGTTGTAAATGTGTATCTCCTTGTCCTCCTGTGAAATGTCTAGAAGGGCAACGACCGGAAGTTAGAAGTGCAGCAGAAGAAACTCCAGGCAGTTGCTGTCCTTTGTATCACTGCGTTCCTCAAAGTAAGTATCAAAGTCATATCCAAGTCATAGTAACTAATTTCCTTGCTAAGTACACGCGGTGGAAAATCTTGTAATCTCAAGGTGCTACTATTTCAAGAGACTCCAGCGCTCGTAATCGTAAATGTATTAGCACACTGATAAAACTACTACTACTTTGGTTATACTTTAAAACCCATTTATAGTTGAAAACTCCCCCAAGCATCAGAAGTTAAATTGTTCCCAAGAGGATTTGTTAAACCGCTAACTAATGACTTATTTTCTTTTCTTTAGCACCGATATCATGGGCTGCTAAGGATGAGGGTGAATTCAAGGGATGTATTGATGAGTCAGGTTCACCTCGTGCCATTGGAGAACAGTGGAATCAAGAACCTTGCACAAATTGTACTTGTGAAGAGAGTAATGGGATAGGAACGCGGTCTTGTCATACTACCATGTGCAAGAGTTGTGAAGGATCATCTCAACTGATAACTGGAGAATGTTGCCCACGTTGTCTTGACTCCAACAATGAAACTGAAACCTTTACTACCATCGCGAATATGCCCACTGAGAATTGTGATTCTCTGGTGAATTGTGAACCACCTTGTCATCTTGGTACACTAGACGATCTCGACAGCTGTCCCAGTTGTGAGTGCCCCAACGATGCTGAGGTACACTTGACGATCATTTTGATTAATTACCTTTCTACTTAGCTCATTTCTTCATACACTTTTTATCTTGTCAATGTCACTTCTTCTGGATAAAAAGTATAACATTCTTAACTTTTCTTCTGTCTCTTCTTCATCCACTTTATGTTAGTTTTATAAATTAATTTATCATCTACGGTTCGTGATAAACAGTCTTGAGTAATTTACTTTTATAAATTAATTTAACATACATAATAGATGATAAACTTATTACATTTTTTTTTATTATTTAAAATTATTAGAATAAAAAAGAAAAATAATTTGGTATTAATATAATTCATATTGGGTATTAAAAGTTTCATTTCACTTGATTCATATTAGATGTAAAAAATTTATTACCAACTTTAAAAAAATACTAATACTTTTATCGTTGGTAAAGCCTCAACGGAGTTCCGGAAATGTTAATGAATCTCTAGGATTAATTCTTGTTCCAATTTCGTTGTGTGACGTAAGGTATTAAGATGAAAAGCCAATTAGAAGACGTTTTCTGTCTTGATTCTCTTGGCATACAATTTGTAACTTACTCTCTTTCATTATTAAAGACCTTAATTTTATTACCTTATATCTATCAAGTCAATTGAGTTTATTTTGCTAAATCATCATTTCACTTTTAAATTCAAAATTTATGCAAGAAAAAAAATCCTCAAATATTTTTAGTCATAAAATTAAAGAGTCATTTTTATGACGTATCTAAATTTGTGTACTTAATTTTAATAAAATATCTCTAGGTTAAAAAAAATATTGCTTTTATTTGTGAGATTCATACTGACGTAATTATTTGAACTAACAAAAGACTTTATTTAGAGCTTTAGATTTTCTATAAATATAATTTTCTGTTTTTAACATATTGACCTCTTTGTAAAAATATAACTGACCCAATATTTAATTAAAAAGAATCATCATAAAAAATTAAAGTAGTTACATTTCTTTGATTTGTTTTTAAAAATTACTGACTTATTATCTGTCGACATTCTTTCATACTTTCATTTCTCAAATTTCCCCGCATGATGGTATTGCAAGACTAGCACTTTTCATTCTACTTCTTCAGTGAGTCTTACTTTACTTGCAATTTCCTGATTCATCTGTATTTTACGGTGTAATACACGCTCAGTTGAACACGTTTCTAATATATATTTCGTAGTTTCATCGAAATAAAAAAGAAAAAAGACAAAAGAGGAGGGAAATGAAAATGAGAAAGATAAAGAAAAGAATGAAAAGATGACGGATAAAATAATGAATAAAAATATATAATATTCGAATGAAATATAATAAAACAAAGTAGGGAAAAAAGTATGAGAGAAAAGAAGACAGTGAGACTAAAGAGAATCTCATCATATTGTTCTTCTATTTGCAGAGTACCATGAATTCTACGAACAAAATGTGCCCCAAGCTAGTACATTGTGGTCTCGATTGTAAGCTTGAGAGAGACCAAGGAGACTGTCCTGTTTGCGCTTGTCAGAGTAATCCAGAACACAACGTCACTGTCATCCCAGTAAACGGCCCTGGAACTTCTGATGAGCAAGAGGAGCGTAGTGTCATTTGCCCAGAGCTAAAATGCGATTTACACTGCGATCACGGTTTTGTCATGGATGAAAATGATTGTACTCTCTGTGAATGTAAACCTCAGGCATTGGATTGTCCACCGTTAGGGTGTAAGAAGAAATGTCCTTATGGCTACAAACATAACAGACGTGGCTGTCCGGTAATACTTATTTCTATTTTATCTTTATTTATTTCCTTTTTTTCTTTCTAACAATTTCATTTTTGTATGTAACTCCTTTGAATATTTCGAATAATGTTCTTATAATACCATTTTTCTCTATGAATTATCTTGTTCCTTCTTGTTTATTTATTTTTAAAACTTGATTTGATTTTAATTATACTAACTAAATAATTAACCTGTAATAGTACAATATTTTATCTTTAGTTTTTGCCAAGATTTATTTAATTAACAAAAAAAAATTCATTTTTTTTATCATCTCCATTTGATGTTTATAAATATTTTCACAAAGATGTTATTTTCTTGGATGAGAATTCAAAGTTTAAAAAAACAACATTTACTTTTAATATAAAAGACCAACTATTTTATGTCAAATTTGTTCTAAAATGTAAATAAAATCTAATTATATTTAAGCTCTAGGTACATTTCTGAATATTGCTATTATGTAAAAGTAAACAAGCTAAAGCAATTTCATAGTTTCTATGTTTTAGTGACATCAATCAAAATATATTCATATGAATAATTGAAAATTAAAGGAAATTCTAATATAATGATTAAACAAACTATAATGAAATTGTAAGATATTAATACTTATATTCACTCTCCTTTGACATAAATAAAATAAAAGTCATTTTATTAAAACTATAAAGTAATATTTTAAAAATAAGTTGGATTATTCTCAATAACTAATTGATTTAAATTTTTTTTTTAAAAGACATGTCGTTGTCATGCGACTTGTGTGGATCATCGTAACATCACTCATCCTGAAGGATCATCATGGAATCCAGATGCCTGCACATCTTGCAAATGTGATGCACTTGGTAGACTTGTCTGCAGAGAAACTGTATGCTCTGTAGCATGTTCAAACCCTCTACCACCAAAACAGGGCACCTGTTGCCCCGTCTGTCCCATCAACGAGGTAAGTTTTCTAACATTTCTATTTCGTAGAATAGAACTGAATAAGACGTAAAACTTATATTAAAAAAATGTTCTTTTCACTTTTGTAGACTGACAACAGTAAAAATGAGAATCATCAAAGTAATAGAAGTGGTTGGGGAATTGTACCAATTACTTTAATAGTTGTTCTAACATTACTCTGCTTGATTCTCATGATCTTTTTGGCAAGAGGACGATTCCGTGGACGACTTTCACCCTCTTCAAATCTCTACACATCGTATCCGGCTCAGTATTATAAATGTGTGCCAGCGTACGAAACACCAGTACATCAAAATGAAAAAATTGTACCTCTATAAAATTATTTAATTATTTTATAAATTATGTTTGTGTATAAAGTAACTATTTGATAAATGGGCGATATAACGTCAAAATGACAAAGAATGAAGAAAATAACTATAAAGAATTAATTATATTGAAGTATTAAGAGTTAACAGTTAACAAAAAAACTCACTTAGTTATACGAAAAAAAATCGAACAAAATTATTCAGTTGATAAAACGAATTGAAAAAAAAAGAATTGATTAATTATTTAAAAAAATATACATTTCCTCATCGTTTAATGCGACTCATTTTTCAATTATTTTTGCTTTTTGATAGCAATAATATGGTAATAGAGAGACTACGAGGATAATAGGATAGATTATTTTTTGATCTCTGAATCGATCGAGTTCCTTTCTCGACCGAGTGGATCAAGTATTAAATTGCCATGTCTGGAACGTGATAGTGACGATTCTCGAGTCAAGAATTTGTCAGTAGGCTCTATATAAATATATATAAGTGAATATATATATTTCTATATAAGTGCTAAGTTTACTATCGATAGCTGTGTTATTAGACTGTTTCTATATTAATATCATTTTGCTGTTTATTTAATAAAATTAAATAAAAATAAAAACAATAAGCTGCTTAATTTTAACAAATAACATATTTATATATTGTTAGAGAATTAAAAAAAAAACAATGTCAATGGACGACATTTTACGAGGAGAAGAAACAAATCCAATTGTTTAATTATTATTATTATTATTGTAAATATTATCCTGTGAAACAATTCATCAATGCTTCTGTGGGTAGCTTCTAATAGAAATTATTAGAAGACTAGAATTATTATGTGTAAATGGAAAATTGAAAAAATTTGTTTGAATTAAATTAATTCATTATACATTTCCATGATGTTTTTTGTTAATAATAAAATGATAATAAAATATACAAAAACTCTGAAATTATGACTGTATTTGTTAGAGAAGTGAATAGCTTTCGAGACTTGATGGTCGATAGAAGTAATTAACAATTCAGCCAATATTTCTAATTATTTTTATCTTGATCCGTAATATTCTTATTACATTTATCATTGTATATCAAATACTTGACTAGTTTATTTACAAAATAATGGCTACTCAATTTTTTCCAAAAATTACTAAAAATAATTAAATGAATATTCAATATTTTTCTTTATTTATTGAGTTATTTACTTCATTGATTCAACTTCTGCTGATTATTAGTTTTCTTTTAACTAATTTAATCATAGTTCAGGTACTTCAAGGTTAAGGTAATCAGAAATATTGCCAAAGTGAAGGAAATAATTACCAAGAGAAAATACTTATACATACATATCTTTGTATCTACATATGTCAGTAGATTCTTTTTAAATTGATATATATTTTTTCAATGTGAAAAACGGATCAACAGACCTCTATAATCATGAAAAAAAAAACTTTGATATGTTAGAACTAATTATAACTATATGTGGTAATACATATAAATATATCATAAAAAGAAAGGTATAATAAAACAACCATAGGATTAAATTTCATACGTGTATAAGAGGACAATATGAAAAAAATAACTGAAATTAATCGACTAAAAAAAATCATTTTATTCACTAAAACTACTTTTCAAAAAAGAAATAGAAAATTTTTTCAATGCTACTAACAATAGTATCCTTATTAAGAGTAGCATATGCATTGGCAAACATAATTTGCATGTGCTTAGCTACATCAGCAAAGCAATAAACGCTTATATTCAATTAATAAACTGAAAAAGAAAAAAATTTATAGCAAAGAAAAATAATAAATTTTACATTATAAATTGAATAATAATCATCCATAATGAATTAATGTGAAAGAAATAAATTCTTCAATTGCCCTGTGACATAAACAGTATCATTGTAAAGTCATATCAATGTAATGTATTCTATAATAGATTTAAGACGCGTTACGAATAATTCTTGTATGTTAAATAAAGGAATAAATTATTGATACACAAACTAATAATATATTTGCCTCTTATTTCATTCATATATTTCCATTATTTGTGATATTTATAGTTGTATCTTTTATGTATTTTCCGTTATTAAACAAAACATAATATTTTCAGCTAAATATGATAATCCTAAGAGATTTGTTGAGATTTCTTAATGAGTGAACTGAAGATAAAGAAATGTAATTAATTCTGTCTTTGAAATGTTTATCTTTCGGTGAATTTTTATACGTTCTTGGAGGATAATACTATAATCCGATTTTATTATTATATGAATTTGTAGATTTACTGAGTCTTAATACTAAAGAATAAATTAAAAGAATAATAATTTTTCAATTTTTACTTTTTCAATTATTTGCTACTCAGAAGATATAAAAATTATTTCATATCTCATATGATACTACTTGACTAAAAGATCTAGCATTCAAATAGATAGAAATAAAAATTTACAACGAAAAAAAAGAGTTTTTTTTTAAGTTTCTATGTTTCTGTCACGTCTTAAGATAGATATGTTGTAGATTTTAATAAAGTACTGATAAAATGATCGTTTTTTATAAAGAAAAAGTAATAATGTCACGTTCATACTCAAAACCAACTATAATTTATTCAAATTTTATCATTTAACAATTTAGATATAAATAATTTAAATTTTAGATTGTCTAGATTGTCAAGTTAATAAATTACTGCATTGTCGCTTATTGCAATACATTATTTAAAATGAAGAAGTGTTGGTTACAAATATTTTTTTTTCAAATTTTTCCACTTTTGTGTTTAACTTGTCATCCAAATTTCTGGCCAAATCCTGGTATTGATAACAAAGATCTTACATGGGTTGTAGAAATATTCGCACTACCATTAAAGGAATCTAAAAGTATAAAGGCTATATTTCAGTGTGCAGGTGTTCTTATTCACCCTCAAGCTGTATTAACTACTAGGAATTGTATGCCAGAGTAAGACAATTTATTTAATTATTCAAAAATTACACACTACTATTAAATATTAAAGAGAGAAATTGTTTGGATTTTCAGTGATAATTTTTCACAAAATGTAACTGTTCGAGTTTATGACTGGTCAAAAAAAAGTAATAATATAATTCAAGAATTATATGTATCTAGAAGTTATTATGAAAAATATTATGATATTGATGTCTTTAGAATAAATGAAAATCTTTTTACGACATTAATTTTGGAAAAACCATTTAGTATTGATTCTCAAATAAATTTTACTGATTCGTATAAACTGAATACTACCATTGAAGATGTATGTATCTATCTAGATGAAAGATTAGAAAAAAAGTCTGGAGGTAATGATATTCATACTTCTTTTTTTTTTTTTTTTACTTTTTTTTCTAATATTAATGTTTTTAGTTCTTTCACGAAAACAATTATGGCTAAATTATCTACCAGACAAGGAGTGTTGTGATTACTTTGGCGATTGGACTGTTCCTTTTTTTAATAAAACATTACAATACAATTGTACAAAACATCCAAGTAGTTTTTGTTCCAGTTTTTATTCATCAAAGTGTTCGGTAAGAAAAGAATATATTTTAATATTACTTATGACGTAGATTTAAGTCATTTTTTGTTAAAGATTAATATTGCATTGTTTCTAAACTCGAAATATATTTTTTTTAGATTCAAGGAAGACAAGGCACTCCCATATTATGTCCATCAGCTCATGATGGTAGTTTTACATTAGCAGGACTATTAGTTGGAAATACTGATTGTCGTTATCAATTCGCAAAAATTCAAGATATACAAAAATATATAAATAGAGCGCTAGCTAATGTTACTCTTTAGAAGTAAAGATTCTTAATTTTACATCTATTAATAAAGTATCAGATGTAGATTACTTAATAGAGACAAATTTTTAATTATGGTATTTTAAGAGTGAATGGTTTCTTTCTATAAAAAAAATAATCATCTAATCAATTCAAACTTTCGTATCAAGTCTCTGATTTGATAAGAAATTAAAAATGCAAAAAATTGTAATTCAAAAGTAAATAAAATATTAACCAATTATTTATATAACCGATTGATGGAATGAGAACAGTATTATCGACGCCTTCTCAAATAAAATGGCAACTGTAGATACAAAAGCATACTACTTGAAAATATGTAATGGATTTTAATTATCTGATAAAATTAATTAAAATTATTTCAAAACTGGTGAATTCATTATAAACTTAAATGATAATAATTCATTTGTTACCAGATCAAAATTTAAATGAAAATTATTCATACGTTTAAATTTGTTTTCGATCAATTGTGTAATATTGCTAACTTCTCTAATATTGAGATTTGTTATTTAATGACATGAAATGAGTGATGTTTACCTTGCAAGCAATTTAGCAGTTCATGTCATATTACCCTTAGTGTATCGGTTATTCAAACATTTATTCTATCTCTTTTTGGTTGACAAACCCCAGTCTGCTTTAATCATATCAGCAAGCTTCTCTGCAATCATGAATGTTGGAATATTGGTATGCCCAGACGGTATTGATGGCATAATCGAAGCGTCTCCAACTCGTAGACCATCAATTCCATGTACCTACAAGTAATTATAATTATACAGAATTTAACTATTAAAAATGAAAACTTGAAGAAAACTATATTTACTTGTAGTCTTGAATTAACAACAGCTGATGGATCATTTTGTGGACCCATTTTACAAGTTCCTGAATAATGATATATATTAAAAGTAATCGTTCTAAGAGCACATTCCCAGTACTCATCACTATTACGATCTAGATGTTCACAACCTTTGAAAGGAAAGTGAACAAGTTTAGCTCCAAATTTTTGCATTGTTTCTGTTTCAGTTACTTTTAATGCTTTTTTAATTCCACTTACTAATACTCTTACATCATCTTTATCGCTTAAGTAGTTAGGAATTATACGTGGTTGTCTATAAGGACTGGCACTTTTTAATAAAATTCTACCTCTGCTTTTTGGTCGTAAAATCATTGGAAAGATGGTAATATAGTGACCGTTGACGTCAATTTTTGTAAGCATTTTTGCCCAAACATCATCAGCTATTCCCCAAATATGAGGAAATAAGAAATTAGTAAAAACAGTACCAGACAAAAATAAGAATTCTAAATTAGGATATTCTTCTTGACCAGTGAAATTATCAACATCCACAAATGCAATACTCTCACATCCATTAGGTATCGCTAGTGGTCCACTTTTCTTCAACAAAAAATCGCGAACATACGGATTTGATAAATCACTAACTTCATTAAAGTTCAGTGCTACTGGTTGATTAAGTTTAAATATTAATGTACCATAAGCGATATGATCCATCAAATTTTCTCCAACAGGAAGATCAGCAATGGGTTTAATATTAAATTCTTTAAGATTATCAACTGGTCCTATTCCTGATAGCATTAATAGTTGAGGAGAATTAATTGATCCAGCACTTATTATAACTTCTTTCTTAGCATAAACTCTATAAATTCTTTTTGATTTTTTATATTCCACTCCAATAGCTCGAGTGTTATCATCATTAAATATAATTTTAATTACCATACTATTTTTTGACACAATAAGATTTTTACGATATCGAGCTGGATGTAAGTAAGCTTTGTTGCTTGAAAATCTGTATCCATCTTTGATATTCGTTTGAAGATGAGAAAATCCAGTTTGTTTAATTCCATTATAATCAACCACTTTGTATCCTAGTTCAACACCAGCTTGCACGAAAGCTTCTGATATAGGAGTGAAGAATGGAGGATGTCTTATAGGAACTGGTCCACCACGACCATGTAAACCTTCATCTTTAACTTGTAAATAATCGACATCTTCCAACTTTTTAAAATATGGTAAAACATCTTCATAAGACCAACCTTGATTGCCCATTTCTGCCCAATGATCGTAATCTTTTGGGTGTCCTCGAGTTGCAATCATGTAATTCAAAGTACTACTGCCACCCATGACTTTCCCTCTGGGCCAATAGCAGCTATGATTTTTCATCCCAAGACAATAACTATCCGATGGTTCTGTACGATACCTCCAATTAACATCACTATTCCATTGTGTTAATGGTATTGCTGATGGTATATCCATAATAATATTTTCCTCTGGTCCAGCTTCAAGTAACAAAACTGAAACAGTTTTCTCCTCACTTAGTCGTCCTGCCAAAGTTGCACCTGCTGTACCAGCACCCACAATTATAAAATCGTATTTTGAACCATCATTTGGTGTCTGATCAAGAGGTTCTCTTCTTTTAAATTCATCACTGTCTCTACTCAACTGAAAAACCCCTTGTACAGCATCTAACAATGTTTGGAGTGATGGTAAAAAAGGTTTGGATCCATACAAATTTCGATAAGATTTGTTGGGTAACTGATCTTTTTGACAATTTACAATAACATAAAAGAATATTAATAATGATAAAATTAGTTCAATTCGTATCATTATAAAGAATAATAATGAAGGAATCTTTTCGAGACAATGTAATTAACTGCTCAATATTGTAATCTCTTACCGGTTTTATACTCAAGCAGAAGGTAAAGAAAAACGTTTTTAAAATTGAATAATTATTTTTTTATCAGTATGAATCGATTGATGTGTAAACTTCAAGGTTATTTTCTTTCTCATTCTTTCTCATATTCATATATTAATCTTTGCTAATTTTATGATACCTTATTGGCAATTTTTCAAATTTGGTATTCACCATACTTAACAAAAATACTTATCTTCTACATAAAAAGATAATTAATTAATATTGAAAAACAATTCTTTAAAAGCATTTTACTATATTTTATTTCATGTTAATATAAATATTAAATCATTACTTTATCATTTTTTTAAAAAAAAGTTTCAATCACTATTTCAATGGAATATTTATTTATTTATTCAGTTTCGTGCAAGGTCCAATATATTATACTAAGAACTGGACTATTAGAGAATTTCTATTGTATAACACAAATAAAATTCTATTGGTACATGGATATAATAGCATGGTTATTATGATACTTGGGAAAAAAAATGTGTAATATACTTTTCCAAGGAAATGACTGAGTTATTCTGGTTCATATCACTTTTTTAATTGAGATTTTTTTAAAAATTGAAACATTCCAGATCATCTATTATTGTTTTGAAAAGATTGTTCAATATACTCAGATCTTTTGAAATAATTTCTAAATAAATTGTAAGGAATAAAAAATTGTTATCAACGTTTTCAAGTAATGATGATAAACAATTTTCATTGGATGAACAGAAATTTTTCTTAATGAAAACATAGTACATAGACCATAATTATCAGTATTATGATGGCCTGCTAATTTACTGTCAGTATAATTTCCTTAATTGAGGATTTCTAATCAATATTATTTATATCGATTATTCATCAATATTAACATGCAACAATCATGATGAGTTTTTATTTACAACAACTTATCATCTACAACTATTTATTAATTATCATAAAAATGAGAATAAAAAATCTCATTAACTTTTTGATCATTAACAAATAATTATTGTATAAATTTCGATCCTGTTGCTTCGGAATATGTATTATTTTTTAATTAACGGTAAAAATATTACAATAATCTAACGAATAATGATCCTAAACAAAGTTATACTAAATATACATTATGGAATGTATTTTTTTTGTTTTTCAAAATAATATTTCATCAATTTGTTTTGAAAAAAAAAACAAAAAATGTGAATAAAAATATATTAGAAAAAACCCTTAGAAAAAAATTTATTATTTAAGATGTTTTATTGGTATTAACTAGGTCGTTGATTTTTATCTCTCAAAAACTGGTTTAATTTGCATTCTTGCTTTATGTAAGCTTATTTCTTTTTAAGCTTTACAAAGGTCTCTGTCAATGTTATTTACAACATTAGTTGTATAAAAATTGTAAATGATATTTTAAAAATATTATCATCATTTTGTGTTTTATTCATCGAATAAATTTGTAAAATAATAATTGTGCTACAACTCATCATATACACATGTGAATTTCATAGCACATATATTTTATAACATTTATATCCTTATATTTGTAAAGAATTTCCTGGTTTATAACATGCATTTATATTTGCAAATGTATTTGTGATTAGAAGAATGTTGATAACACTGTCTTCATTCCATTAATCGATTACATAAATAATTTTTCAGGATTTTATTAATTTGTAAATCAAATATTTATTATCGTTATTGTCTCTAATTTTTATAATAGACCAATATATATTTTAAATTTTATTAATAAGTGAAAAATATCATTGTTATTTCCACAGAATAATTCAGATATGTTTTTTGTGAAAAAAAAACAGACTTACCGATGTTGACCTACTGCTCCAATATTTTGTTTCTATCAAGGTCGATGCCGGATAAATTCGAAGAATCACAACGTTACAAACTCAAAATCAAAACAAAACACTAACACAACTTCACTACACTAATCACGTAACGCAAAATATTCACTTGAATTCTTTTATTGAAAACCACTATGTCAATACTGCAAAATACTATTATTTATTCTTGATTTTATTAAATAAATCATCATTCATTAGTTATTACTCCAAAACACTAGGAATACGTATTTCTATTTAGAGTGCTATAGGATTAGAGAAATGTTTATCATTTCTGGCATTTAGAATAGCCCAAAATCAAAGTTTCTATAACAAATTATATCCATATTCAATTCAAATAAATTACAAACATATTCTATCTAATCATAGAAAAACTGGGCAAAATAATGTTTTGTAATTTTTTCCTATTGTGCTTTCCACTGTTTTGTTGTTTTAATTGCAACGATCTTTTAGTTAATAATTATTCTTGCTTGTCGATTGAAATGGCTGAGATAAAAATTTTTGTGTTTTACACATAACAAATTGATTTGCTGCTCTCAAACACTTAAGTAATACTTTAATAATTATTAAGTCGAACTATTTATTTTTCTTTTGAAAAAAATTCCCGCAAATAAAACTCATCTCGAATTCACCATCATGGCCGCTCGCGTCGCTCAGTTAACTTCATTCCAATCCGCCCTTGTGACAGTTGTAGAGGGCGTAATGATCGCTAATGGCGGAAAATCTAATGAATAGAGAGCTATTTTTATAAAAAGACTTTCGCGATTTTTACACAACCACGAATTGCGTTTATCTATATTCTCAAATGCAATTTGACTAAAACTAAATTGTACGCCTACGGTAACCTAATTTAGAATTAGGTTAGACTCATCCTGTATGTATAGTTTATATTCCATGATCGTATCGAATGTGTTATGATTCACAATGATTCAAAATAAAGAAGATAAATGTCGATTATGTTTGTCTAAACTCGATGAAAATAATTATTCATCAATATTTACATTAAATAAAAATCATAATCCTGGCCAACTTTCGCTATCATCGAAGATCATGATTTGCTTATCACTTCCGGTATGTAGGTTAACAACTCCCAAATAAAAACTAAATATTTTTATTCTCTTTAATGTTCATGAAGTATTGAAAGTGACTTCGATGATCTATTTTTTAATTGATCATAACCATTAAAAAGTATTTTGACAATTACGAAATTTAATTTTCTTATTTCCAATTAAATCTCCTACATTGTTTGTAAACTTTTTAATTATTCATACTGGATTAGAAAATTATTACTATTTAATTAAATGATATCTTCGATAAAATTATAGTTTTATATTTATTTATTATAGGTACAGAACGGTGATTACTTATCCAAAAAAATTTGTATACCATGTAGAGATGAGATAATGCGCTTTTACGAATTCCGTTTGAAATGCCAAAATGCTTACTATATGATGAACCTTGCTTACCATCGTGATATTCTTTCAACACCAAAAAATTTCATGACAAACTCAGAAAATAAAGAAAATGGATCTGAATCAGAAATTGACAAAGTCATACAACAACCGAATCTAGACAGTTTAACACCTGTAAATCAAAACACAAATAGTAACTTATTAAGCGAAGTAAATAAAATAACTGATAATATTCAAAACAAGCAGAATGAATTGAAAGTTGAAAAAAAGCCAGCAGAGTATAAGTGTTATCACTGCAATACCATATTTGCAGATTTAGGTGCTGCTACAATTCATTGCATCAAATGTACAGAATTTCATAGTCGTTTAAAGGAAAATAAAAGTTTACCAGAAAAGAAACAACAATATGATGATAATGAAAAAGAAGGAGAAGAAATGCAAGTTAGTATTAATAATTTTACTGAAGAAATTAACGAAGACATCTTAGTTCCCTCTGAAGTAAATGAAGATAAACGACACAGTACCAATGAAAGTATTGAAGAAGCTTCATTAGGATTAATAATTGATCTTGCCGTAACTGACTCTAATAAAAAAAAAAATCCGGAGAAATTTAAAGATCGGAAAAGAAGAAAAGAACAATCTGTGTATCCCTGTTCTCAGTGTAAGAAATCATTTCCTAGTCCATGTTTACTTAAAAGACATTTTATGGTTCATACAGGTGAACGCCCATACCAATGTGAAACATGTGGTAGAAGATTTTCTCAAATAGGCGCTTTAAATTTTCACAAAAAATTTCATGCTAATCCACCTTATCGCTGCCAGATATGTAGTAAACCATTTATGAGACCTAGTGATATAGAAAAGCATATGAGAAGTCATACAGGTGAAAAACCATTTTCATGCAAAATGTGCCAAAAGAAATTTTCACAGTTAATAGCCGTTCAGCAGCATGAAAGAATTCACACTGGTGTGAAGCCATATATTTGTGAAATTTGTGGAAAGGCATTTTCACAAAGTGCAAATAAACGAAAACATGAAAAAATACATAAGCAAGGTACTAAACCTTATGTATGTGATACTTGTGGTCGTAGTTTTTTTGAAGCAGAAGAGATGAGACTACATAAAGCAGGACACGGTGGTGGAAAACCACGAGAATGTGATTATTGTGGTGAACATTTTAGAAGATTATCTGAAATAGCTGATCATGTACGACGATTTCACACGTTCGAAAGGCCCCATACTTGTGCATTTTGCTCCAAATCATTTTATTCATTATATAGTCTAAAACAACATGTAATGATTCATACCGGACAAAAGCCTTTTGTTTGTGATAGATGTGGTAGTAAATTTACTCAAAAAGGTAATCTTGCCAGACACATTGCTAGAAAACATGCTGATGAAGATGAAAATCGAGATGTAAATAGAGATGAAATCGAATGTGAAATGGAAAATGATAGTTCAGATCAAATAACAGAAAAAATAAGCATAGAATCAAATGATATTAGTATGAGTATTACAAATAATAAATTGTAAATAAACAGTAGTTAGATTAAATTAAATTATTAATGAAAACTAAACATTAATACAATTTTTTTACCTTGTCTTACGATCTTGCGGCGATACCGAAAAGAACAATTTTTGTATTTTATTTTCATCAAAATATTGTAGAGTATCTAAATGTATATATATGGCAATGTATAAATTATCCGAAAAAAAAGTTAATTAGTATATTCAGTTTTTGTTACATCGACGTAACATAATATATATTCAATAAAAAAATAATACTGATTAAAAAAAAATAGTACATTTTGTTGAGAAAAATTAATTAAACATAGAAAATATATAAATCGTCGAGTCTCACTATATTAAATTAATGATTTTAACCAATCGTCGTCGATATTTTCAGTTAGCGGAGTTGAATTTAAACCATCTAACAATATTTCATCAAGGAAATGATCTATAGATACTGGAGAAATGGAAGACATATCACGTTGATCACTAGTTGTAGATAATTTAGTATTTTGTACTGAAGACATATACTCATCATTATTAATTATTTGTTCTGAAGTTTTATCGAAATTATTCAATTGTTTTTCATTTTGATTACTTTCGAAAGACCTATTTAATGACTTAGTAATATCTACTTGGTTATACTCATAATCTTTAATTAATTGTTGATCTAAGTTTTGTCGATTCAAGTCATTCTCTGCTAAAGATTGAGATATTGCAGATTTGACTACACTTTTACAGCTAGAAGTAATATTTTTTATAGGTATCTTTTCATTCAGCTCCTTGGTGTAAATGATTTTTAATGTAGGTTTCGTATTGTGCTTGCCTGAAATAATGTGAGAATAATTTTTTGGTTTTAATTGAACATGCACCTTTTCAACACTTCTTATACGTAGATGACTTTTCTTCGGTTCCTTACTTTTTACATGATTTGTTTTATGATCAAATATTTTCTCTTGATATTTCATTTCAAGAGACGTATTATTTTTTTTCGTATCAATATCGAAGATACTTTGTAATGTTGGCAATGTCTGATCTTTTTTTACAATCTGATCTTTGTCATTTTCTTTTTTCATATAGCTATTTAGCGTCGATAAAGAGTTTGAAATATCAGAGTTACTAGAAATCGTAGTTGGTGATGTAAAATAGTCACCTAAAAATGAATAAATTTTTAAAATTAATTTCAATGTGTAAATCATCAAGTGATGCCAAATAGTTAGTAATAAAATTAGCATAATTTTACCTTTTGGAGTAAGTGGAGGAGTATACATTGATAAATCAATAGACATTGTTAACTCTGATAAGTCATTAGATTTTTGTTCATTTGTTGTTTCCGGCTGTATATCTAGAAAATCAGCTTTTTGAGGTATATATTGTAATTCTTCATATCCAAAAGGCCATGGACACTGAAATCACATTGAATTCATGATATAATAAATAATAAACATAAGAGAAAAATAGTGTTGATAATCATAAAGCAAAAAAATAACTTACTGTTTCAGATTCACACATTTTTAAAGCTTCTTCATAATTAATTTGCACAGTTTTTATTTTTCGGTCGTAACCAGCTTTCTGACATAACGGACATAACTGGTCCATTCTTCTATAAGTCTCATCAATTTTTGGAATTCAATGAAACCCACAACCAAATTAATAATGTAAAAACAAAATACGTTTCATGACGTATAATACCGGCAATTATATCTCATAAAAAAAATGAGAAAAATAACACATTATTTTATAGATTAAACTCGACAACAAAATAACGAACGAATAGAATACTTTAATAATAAAATGAACTTTATTTTCTGTGTTAATTGATGTTAATATTTATTTATAAATGAGTAGAAACGGAACTAATTCCAGTAGAAAACAATCTGAACACATGTTTCATGTAGAGGTATGAACTATAGATAACAGTATATTTCCTGACAACAATTCGCAATATTTATAATGCCTTTCTGAGTAAGAAATAACATCAAGTTTATCAAATATTTGCAGATAAAATCTATCAATGGAAAACAAATAGAAAAAATTAATTGGAGAAATAAATATTCAATCTATTTTCAGGGTCACATCAGGCAGAATATTTTTTTTACCCACAGTAAATAACAAGATATATGATGGGTCAAAGAAAATTGTCTGTAAGTCCCTCTATGTCAGTTTTTGGAAAGTATGCATCAAAATCATACTCAATCGGTCATATCAATTGCGTATATGCGCATGTATAGTTCGAACTTGCGACCACTGACCAGAATAATATTTTCTATTGTCAAGTAATTTTTTTTATTAATTATGAATCTGTAAAGTAAATGAATATTGTAAAGTTTTAAATACTAAACCTATTAAACTTATTTAAGATAATCAATAATCATGGATTAGATTGTAATTACTTACTTTTATATATTTTTATTATTTTCTGATTCTAACCTTTTTTTGTATCAAGTTAAAACTCATTTTAAATTACAAAATTATTGCGACAATTGAACTCTTGTTTTAAGATTTAGTTATAAAATAATAAAAAGTAACAAAAAAAATATAACAAAATCTTGCATAATTAGACCAAGTCAAAGTTAAAATTTCTATTAATTATCACATTAATAAAACATCGAATCACTTGCTACATTTAATGATTACATCATTATTGTAAGTTAACACCTTATTATGTATTGTCATTTAATTTGATTTTTAAAATTAGATTAAATTATGAGTAATTTCATTAATTAAATATCTACTCTTTTCGAATACTAATTTTTCATTATCAATTTGATCTTCAAAAGCAGAGTCTGAAGTGATGAGTTCTGGATGATGTTTACTTATTATCAACGTCACTGGCAAAAGTAGTAATGCTTAACAATTGGTAGTGAGATGCGCCGACTTAGGCTACGCAAAGGTTCTTATTTATCAATTGGAAGTAAATCTTCCTTATTTTCAATATCTCATTCAACTTTACATCAAATACATTTGAGCGAACCTCGTCCTCAAGATGTCTGCGGTCGAGGCACCACCGTTTATACGAACAATCGAGTGGGATATGATGGACAAAACAAAATTCTTTCCACTGAGTATGCTGTCTTCATTCTCAGTTCGTTGTTGCCTTTATCCATTAACTGTTATCAAAACACGGCTTCAAATACAAAGAAAAAATCACATGTATACAGGTAACTAAACTGAGTAAATTATTATCAGCTATTTATATGGCTTTTAAGAATTCAACATTTTAGAGAAAATGGGCCAAATGATTTTTTAAAGAATAAATATAAAAGAACAGCGTTAATGTACAATTTAAGATAATCAAAAGTTTGAAGTGATCACAGTTGAAGTATAATCTATTAATTATCTTTGTGCATTAGCTATTAAAAAAAAAAGATCTGTATTTAATAATAACATGATGCAAAGATTTTTATGATAATGATAAGCTCTTGAAAAATAAAAATATGTATATGATTAGATTAAAATTATCAGACTTCAATAATTGCTGTGGGAAAATAAATAGTTACGGTTTAGAATCATTCAATAAGCTTCGAGAATCAATATTCTTTAACTAAACGCAAATTTTAAAAAACGATGTTATTAAATCTCTTAATTCCTTTATTTCATAGAAACAATGCTACAGCTTTGCTTCCATCATAGTGATCTCAATTATTAGAGTCAATTAAAAAAGAATAGTCTATTTGTATAGCTTTTATTTATTTTCACTTCTAGTTTTTTATTGTTCATTTTATAAATGGACCAGTACATTTACTCTGCTTAAAAACCCGTAAAGAACATTAAACTGAGAATTAATTAAATTGTTACTCTAGGAATGATAGACGCTTATCGCAAAATCTACAGAGTAGAAGGATTGGCAGGACTCTACCGCGGGTTCTGGATAAGCTCAATCCAAATAGTATCAGGAGTATTTTATGTGTCAACTTACGAGGGAGTAAGACATATTCTAAGTCAAAAACCGTTCACTGCGGGTCTAGATTCAAGAATAAAAGCATTAATTGGAGGGGCAGCAGCGAGTGCTGTAGCGCAGACAATTGTTGTACCCTTTGACGTTCTAAGTCAGCATCTAATGGTTCTTGGAGTCACAACAAAGCACGGAAAATTAGCTGTGGATAAAGTAAATACATTTGTTTTATAAATTAACGCAAAAATTAAAGATTTAGTGTTTAACCCTTTTTATTGATAGATATAATGTAAAAAATTTTCTAAGATATTTTTTTTCTCCTTAATAGATGGCAATGAATCCACTAGGATTAAATTTAACTCCAGGAATGTCGAGAGCTTACATTTCTAGTGAAATTATTAGATCAATATACCAAAGAGATGGTGTCAAAGGTTTTTATAGGGGTTACGTAGCGTCTCTTTGTGCTTATGTGCCTAACAGTGCACTTTGGTGGGGTTTATATACTTTTTATCAAGGTAAAAAAAATTTTTATTCGTAACAAAATCAATTTATTAATATTTTTAAGATTAAAGAAGCGTATAAAACTGTATGGGACGTGTTATTTAATCACTTAATTTTCATATTAATTTCATTTTTAACGATAGAGTATTTATCTATGAATAATCTCTTGATTTGAATGCTAGATGAACTGATTAGAATGTTACCAAATTGGGTATCTCATCTTTTCATTCAGTCAGTGGCTGGAACTCTTGGAGGATTCACGACAACCATTATAACAAATCCATTAGACATAGTTCGTGCAAGACTTCAAGTTCAGCGTCTAGATAGTATGTGCAATACATTCAAAATATTATGGATAGAAGAGGGAATGAGAATGTTTTCAAAAGGATTGTCTGCAAGACTTGTACAATCTGCATGCTTTAGTTTTTCAATAATTCTTGGATATGAAACAATTAAACGTGTGAGTATAAATGAGGAGTACAAAAGTTATATACGATGGTGAGAGGAACTACACAAATGTAAAATTGAATATTTTCATTTATTTTCTGTCATCATTCTATGCATTATTGTTTTGCCATCAGTGATATAAGATCTCATTCCATCTTGTATATAACGTTATTTACCTTATTTATCAGGCTGTATATACTTTAGACCTATATTTAATTAACTATTATTAAATTTAATTCGATTATAAAGTTATTAAATAAAAAACCGATACATTTAAATAAAGTATCTTCAATGTTTCTTTTCTTGGCCCCTTATCAAGTTGAGTGATTGAATAACGCCCTGTATACGTAATAATTTTTATGGTCTGCAATTTATTTTAAAGAAATTGAAAAAATGAATATTTTATTAATAATTTTAAAATAGATTGGTATTTTTTTACTATTTTATATTTATCTTAAATTAATTCACGATACTTACGTCAATTCACTAGACGTTTTAACTTATTTAGAAATTGGAAAGAAAGTTTTTTAATGAAAATAGACGTAAAAATTTTCAAATTTTTTTCAGAAGTATACACTCCTAATATTTATTCAGTTATTGTACCATGTGAGTTTATTTTCGTCAGTCGGTAAGTCATGTCTTCCATAACAACAGAATTTAAATTTAGGAATTTCATTGTCTTTCAAATTTTCAAAATAAATAAAAGAATAAAATCATCTTAACAAGGATTATTGAACTTATATTATAAGAAATAAAGTTGAAAATCAAAACAGTGAAAAAATTGTAAGTTTTCTTTTATTATTGATCTTCTTTTTATGTCTTTTTATTTCACCATCATTGATAAAGATTTGATTTTATCTTGCATATAATTTTATTTTCTTTATTTATCATAATGTATATAATTCAGCTCAATATTTAGTTATTTATTATTATATTTGATTCACCAGTAAATTTATAAAATAAAAAAAAAATCATACATCTGAATAAATGAAAATTAGTTTTGTTTCTTTAACTTTAATTATTTTTGAAAAATAATTAAAGCAATATAGTTTATATCACGAATAATTTATACACGATTTTTCTTCCATCTTGTATACATATTTTCATTATTCATATAAATATCAATGACATAATAATTATTATTCACTTATAATTATAATAATCTGTACAGATAAGAAGAAAGGTTGGTTTTACCAATCAAAAAAATTTATCTTATAAATTACAAATTATTCTAACGATTGTTTCATTTGTTTTTTGTTGGTATTTTATACATTCTTAATTATTAATAACATATTCGAATTATATAACAAAACAATAATAAAATGTCAATTTTAAAATTTCTTGTTTTTACGATCTTTCTTTATTAATTTTGTGTTATATCATCATTATCATCATCATAACTTGATTTATTTTTTACATATTGACTTTTTTACAATACGTTTATTTATTTACAACCAATGAGCATTTATCTATTCGTTAATAATTCTCTTTATAGCTGTCAATACTGTGAGTATACATTCATTTATAGAAATAGTGATGGAATAATTTATAATATATTTTTGGTAATCCCATTTCTCACTACGTCAATCAATAAATAGATATTTACTGTCAATAATTTACTTTACATAGAGAAATATTTTTTATCAGTCGGTTCTTTTTACAGATTTCTTACTTATCATTTACATAAAATTTCTTTAGTATCATCTAATTCTAAAGACTAGAAATTTGAGAGTAAGATATTTTTACGTAGAAAAATGTACCTCTTTCATTCATTTATGCTTTTAACTATACATATATACCGTTGGAAATTCATTCGCGTACTATTAACATTAATAATTTAGTGGTAAAAAAAAGTATTTTAAAGCAAAGAACGTATATATCGAAAACAGGTTGATTCGAACAGTATATAAATTCATGAGTATTTTCGTATTACTCTCCGAGGGGCCACATTGCAAATGCAATTCTTGCGATCGATACAAGCGGCCTCTAGAGCAATCAATCGCAGCCGTTGCCACAGCTATTATTTTTACGTTTACATCGTGGTCGTGTTCCATTTCTTTTATTCTATTTTTTTTTTTCTTTATTTAATTTTCTCCAGTTCCGAACATTGCTAAACCATTTTATGCATCAAGATAAAAAGGATTTCAAAACATAAAATTTGAATTATTCATGCAATACCAATTTTCATATCTCTCTCTTAGTATTATCGATTTCACTCTCAACTGTACCCTCGTTGTTTTCATTCGATATCAGACATTCCTCTTTACATTCACGTTTTAGATCTTCAACATTCAAATCCTCATGCTCATCTTCAGTAATACTCGATTCTAACATTTTAAATGATTGAACAGCAGCCTCGTGTACTTCCGCAAACTCTTCGGCTGAATTCGGTGGTTTGCGCGCATTATCTTCCAATCACGTATCGCGAAAGCGTATTGCACGGTCCCGTTTAGGCCCCTGTTTGGGCCCTGCGTGACGTCACATTCCCCCACTTGATGATGTGCTTGTTACTATTCCACTGTAGGTACCACCGTCACTGCTTTGTGATACACTGCTGTAACTTACGCTGCTTGCTTGCACTCCAGTTCCCATTCCGCCCACGTACTAGAATCATATAACACACGTTGCTTAATGCCCCTTGTATGTCAAAAAAGTTAATAGTTATTGTTATTAATACGTGGCAAGTAATATAAGAGAGATATACTACATATATCAAATTTTCAAAATAGTCTAATTAATAGATTGTATTGAGGACGATAGATTAATGATCAAATGACATAAATGCTATTCTATAAATTCTCATTAAATGTAAGAGTACTAGACTTGTTAAAATAAAGGATAGATTCAACTGAGGGAGTTTATTTTACTAATTACTTTATATATATTTCATCTATTCTTGTTTTAACTAATTTGTATTAAAACTTTATAATGTCATTATCTATATTAAATTACAGAGGGTTTCGAAATTATATCATCAGCTTTTTACATCTTTTGGTTTATTGGAGGATTGACTTGAATACTTGGGTATCATGTGGTTGCTTTATGTAAATTAGACTATTATAATTATTTTTTTTTTTTGCTCCAAATGTATTTTATGTGTAGACATTAAGAAATATCATTTAAGTAACGTAATATTAGAGTAAATACAGGGACAAAAATACTAAAATGGATTCATTTTTTTCTATATACTTGTTTCGTTATTTATTTTCGAATTTTAATTAAAGTACATGTGCTCAAGTGCTGAAGTGAGGTGATAAAATTCTAATTCCAACCAACATTGAATTTCTACCAATTTGAAGAAGCTTAAAAAAAATTGTTCGAGCTTATTATTAGGTTTCTATGAATATGTTAATTTTTATTTTAAATACACAAGTACCTTTTTATTTTTAAAAGCGACAATACTGAAGATAATGGGGTATATTATCATAACAAGTAATTAGGAATAAATATCGGATCAATTGGTAAATGAATATTATAGTTATTTTCAATTATTCGAATATGTAGATTAAAAGAATAATTCTCGTGAATATGCTTTCAAACCATACTTTTGAATCTCTGCGGAATCGGGTCAGAATATGAGGGGAATCCTGTACGGAATGAGGTCGGAATTTGAATTGTTTCAGTACTTCTATTTAGCTTCTTCAACATTAGCAATAACAATAAGCTTTCAAGAGTTTATTTCTCGGAAAAATATTTTTTATTCTATTTTTATTCTCTAAAAAGTGCATTAAGAATGGCATATTTCTTTGGATTATAGAAAATTTTCTATTCTATGGTTTTATACATATTTATTTTATATTTTTTTTTAGGTAATGATGAAATGAATGGGAATAATTTTTTATTTGAATTTTATAGCCTAAATCACTTGAGAGGTATCGATAATAAGAAATAGTTGGTATATAAAGCTTCTTGTAGAAATCACACGGGCAATCATCAAGAGTGCTCTATTGATTCACCAAGTATTGCAGTTTTATGGATTGATCACGTAATCACTATAAAAGCCTTTGTGTAAAAACGGGCTTTAATTGTTAATTTAATAACAGTTTAACTAACCGATAAATTTTTCTCCCATTTTTTTCCATGAAACCCCAGTTATATTCACTGTAAAAATTAAGAATCTAATTTTTTTTGTTTGAGCAAAAAGTAATTATACTTTTAAGAGTAGTTATAATTTATTCAAATTGTTGTTTAAATCATTTAAAGTACAAATATTTACTAAAAAAAATTGATTAGTTATTTTTTGTAAAAGCATATTTCATTGAAAGAAAATTTAATTCATAAAAGTTGAGATAAAAAAAAAAATGACAAATTTATGAGAATGAAAGAAGCATTTTTCAACACTTTTTTTTTAAATGGAACAATTTTTCGCTGTCACTTTTTATTATTCAAGTATTCTACAGCAATTATTACCACTGATTAAGTGATAAAATTCAAAAATAGATGCCAAAGCAGTAAACCATTTTGATGTTCACATTAATAAAATATGACAATAGAGCATATGAATCTAAAACGGGAGTAATTTTCTTGAGCTGTTAGTTCTGAAGGATATAGATTTAGCTATAGACATAGTCACAAATACATAAATATATGCCAATGTGTTTCTCCATATTTTATTGTTGGATCTTACGCCAGGAAGTTATGATCAACTTTAATAGATTGCTGCTAACTTTAAGTCATGCATTACTTTGTCACATTCTCTGGTAATCCATGTTTATATATATATCATTGTCACTGAATGGTAGATTTACTGATTTTGACTTTTCAATTAGTGATAAATTACACAAAAATAAATAAGGAAAAAAAGGTCTTATGTTGAAAGATTTATCATTCAGTGTGTTTCACTTGGTAAAGTTCACTTCAATTATTAAAAAGAAAAATCCTAGAATAAGCATCTAAAGCTCAATATTTGAACATCAATTTATATTATTTATTACAATCATCTATTTTTGGATATAATAAATAATTTATCAGTTTGAATGAATTATCATCTTTCCGGGTGATGAATAAAACTACTGAAAGCTAAGTAATATATATTACAATAATTGAGCATTCTAACCGCGCTAATTTTATTCAACAGCTACAGTTTTCATTTCGACAATGAATATTCTGATAACAAAGGCTAAAACAATTAATAACAGATGTATTATTATTATTATTGTTGTTATTATTATTTGTTATTATAATTGTGTGAAAAATATATGTGACATGCAGAAGTACATAAACAGTGTAACCGTAAACGTGGTTTACTGAACAAATTAAAAACTGTGAAATGCAATGTTCTATGTTTAAATCATGATACACCACGTTATTGTGCTAATTCTCAATTATAATCATGCACTTAATCAGTTGGTTGACCAATTCGGTCGTCGGGGAAATGGAACGATGGAACCAATTGTACGAAAATAAATGAGGTTTGGTTGATTGAACGAATTGTCCGTTGTCCAGGAAAGTAATCTGCTTATTCAATACGATTTATCGATGGTTATTCTTTGGAAGTGATTTATTGCAATAGATAAGATGTTTACTATTGGAATTTCTTAGCTTCTCATTGCTAGTATGAAAGCTATTTTTTTAACTTCTTAATTGTTTAATCGATAATAAAATTACCATTTTTATTGTTTGTTCTATTTATGAGGAGTTTTTTTTTTCTTATTAATATTCTTTTTTAACAAATTGGCGGTAAATTCTGTAAGAAATAGCTCGCCAGTAATTATAGATTCTTCGTTCATTACTGAATGTTAGAACTTGATTACCAGTAATAGAATAGTGAAGAGTTTTTATCGTTGATGGATTAATTTTTTTTATGGTCGAATATTTATTAAGTAATAGAATAGGAGAGAAATGAATCGTTTTTGTATTCTCTTTTCATATGGTTGAAAATTATAACGATGGTAAATTTTTTATTTTAGTTGATTTAAGTAGAAAATTTTATGGTATTTTTTTTCATGAGGTTTATTGTTCTTTTGTACGAAATGTTCAAATACTGGACCATCTTAAAGTAATGACGCTTTTTACTACGTTATCCAGTAAAAAGTTATACCTTTTATACTAATTTCTGTTATAGAGCTGATATAGCTTGTGGTTACTGTGACTCATGTTAATTGTTATTGTTTTATTTTTTGTTTTAAAAAATAATTTGCAATTTATTTTTTACACTGAATAAAAAAATTTCGTTAAAATTATTTCAAGTAACCATCAAAACTGAGTCTGTTAGAATGTTAATTCAAAAAAGCAATATTCTATTGCGATGATTCAAAATTTTGATTTTATTAATTTAACAAAATATGACTTATTGACAGTCAATTTTTTCTCAGTGTACCATTTCTATCATTGATTATATTGATTTTTTTTTTAAAAAAAAAACGTCAAAAAATTTTTATTCTGGAGAAATGGAAGATGCAAATACACATGTAGTTTTTATCAAGAACAAAATGATAAAAATGATATTTACATTTCATATTTCATCCAAAGATGAACAAGATATTAACTATTTAGTTTTCCATCCACGTAGTTAAATACAATATGATGATTATGGATGAAATAAAGACTGCAGAAACGGAAACAAAATGAGGTTAAGGAGTTGATAATGTCACCACAAACGACAGTTTGTAGTTTCGAGTTCCAGTTCCAAGCTCAGTGAATTCATTTCGAGAACTGGCCTCACACATTTTCACGATCCACATTGAGTGTCTTTAAGTGGTGAATATTAAACGTATAAAAAGGGATGAGAATTGTTAAGCGGGGCAGTTATAGAAGATTGAAAGGACACGACAATTGTCGAGGGAAATGCAAATAAGTCGAATAAATAGAATGCAAATAACTTTACGAGTGTTATTTCGTTCCCCTTGAAATTTACGTTGTCATTATTCCGAAATAATTGGAAGTTTTTTTTTATTTTTCATTTGTTCTATTCTTTATTTATCGTTAGATTTAATGTCGAAATATTTTTTTTCGTTCATTTCAAATAATTATTATTCATCAAAATAATAATTCAGTTGTCCAAACATGCTGGAAAATTCAAAATTTTGAAGTCATGCAAATTTGACAATTAATTTCACATGCATTTCATTGTTTCTGTAAATACGATAAACATTTAGATAATGCTGTGCTTCTGTGCAGCTTTTAGTGAAAATAATATTTAATTTACAGTTGTTTATGTGTAAGACCTACCGCCAATTCAATTGCCAGATTGCCCCTATTCTTCATCCAATTTCACGGTGATTTACAGGATTTACAGGATTAGAATCCCGTAAGTTATACGTTATAAAATAAGTAAAAAATTGGTAAAAAAATATATATACTCTTATTTTTGTGTTATAAGTCGATGAAAAAATTATTTATTAATTTATTAATTATTTAAAGTAATATAAAAATAAATTAGTCATTTTTTTTTTACTTTCGTTTTAATTTGTGTAAAAAATAATTCTAGTGTTTTAAAGTAGGATAAAAATCAATAGCAGTTTTATAGAAATGGAGAAAATGAACGTCTCGGATGGAACGCAATGACACGAGAGGAAATAGACCTCTGATAGGATAATAGTCCAAGAAATCTTGATGTTATAAAATGTAGTTTTACACGCCATCTGAATTTTCGCGGCTTCGTCGAATCTGGTGTAGTGAATATGTCGAGTAGTACCTCGCCGAAGAAAATTTCTGAAAAAAAAAATAATCGCCCCACCTACTATGAATTATTTTATAATCAATTATCAACCGAATTATTAAACCGAAATATCAATCAAGGTTTTAATATTATAATTTATGAAGGTTTTTATAAACTTTATAAATCTATTGATTGTTTTGGCTTCAATATTGTTCTGAGGGAAATCAAGTTATAGATGTAATTTTCATCTCAATAGAGGTATAAGTAGAATGAGCAGAGGATATAATCAGACAGCCAAGCAGCAACAGCTCTGATAAGGCAGTAGAATCAGTTGTCTGACGAGAGTCGAAGTTGGGATTGATTAGTTAGTAGTTACATAGAATTAACTTATCTTCAATCGTATTACAACCATCTTTGATGCTTAATTAGTGAATATTTCTCAGATGAATTATAGTACGAGTATTGTAAACATAAATATGTTATTTGGAGAACAATAAAATTAGAATGAAAATAAATCATTGACAAATAATCAGTTGAAACTTGTGATCTATATTAATAAGAATGTTTTTGAAGGTAATCTATTCTACAAATTAGGGGAAGAGCATGAAGTTTCTTTTAGGATAATATTTCTCTGATAGAATAAAAGATTACCAGTATTCTAGATCAGTCTTGCTTCAATGTTGGAATTGTTTTTAATTATTTTTTTCTTTAAAATTAACAGATTCATTATTATCTAAAGGTTTAATCTACAATCAAGGGCACATATTCTAACTATTAAATGCTTGAGAGAATTATTGTAATATTTTTCAGCACTAAAAATTTTCCAGGATTATCTCGCATTGTTTTACGAATAACAATACTCATTACCAAGGAATGGCTTTTGACTAAATATATAAAGGGGTTCTTCATGCTGCTTTATAATGTAATAAAGACTTAATCTTTTCTATTTTTTTCAAAAAAATATCATACCGAAAATTTTTTCGATTGATGTTTGCGTCTTATCGTCCTAGTCTGCAAAGGAAATATATATATTTTTAGTGAAAATATTACTGAAAGTTAAATAAACTTTTTTATCTTATCACTAATTTTTCCTTTCACTTTAACTCTACGTCAATTTCAGCTTTTCTAGCCGTAAAGTGGCTCTGGATTTCCCAAGAAAATTTACTGTGAATTCGAGGCAGTAAAAAAAAAAACGAAATCTAAATTGAAAAGATTCTGAGAATCGTAAGAATTACATTTATCTATATATCTTACTAAGTTAAATGTATATCTTCACATACACTTGTAAACTTCACGGGAAATTTTGTAAAAGCTCAACATAATCCTTGAAAAAATTCTGGCATTTAACTCGAGAGCCATTACGTAATTATGTTGATTATTTATTTATTTATTTTTAACTCAAACTTGAAAGAAAAAATTTAAATTAATTTTGCAAAATAAGTAAATAGAAGAGTATTTAGTGAAGTAAACAATAATCTCAGTGGATTATTTTAATTCTACTTCTTTCATCAACTTCGTCTGACTTTAGTTATTTTCTTATTAATATTGATCATTATCTTAATTAAAAACTTTACCTCAAATGATAAAAAAATATAAGATAAAAATAATTGAATAACTGCTTGAAATTATTAAAAAATTCTGTCCATGTATTTTTATTGGTTATTTTTTTATTGGAATAAAAATTTTTTAATAAAGTTCGGAGATATAAATGTTATAGCAGAAGAATCTTTATATCCATCGAGACAATTTTACGTAATCTAGTTCTTTCGGTTCATATCAACTTTGTTCTCTGAATTTAAACGATAACCTACAAAAGGTTTATGGAAAATTTCTTTTCTTTTTTTCAATATTATTTTTTATTATAATTCATTTGTAATAATTTTATTGAAAATCACTTTAAAGTTGCATTTAAATGTTAACTTGAATCGACATTGTTACAATCAAAATTGATTTAGTTTACTTAAAAAAATTATTTTTGATTAATGTAATTGATTTATTCATGTGAATTGATTTTATATGTTTTAAATTAGCCTTTGATTGTATTAAATCAATTAATGTGAGTTAAAAAAATTTGAATCCACTAGAAAATAATTTTTTCAATTAATCTTACCTGACTAGGTTTACATCTAAAGGCTGGTTGATATCTTCTCCTCATTTTTCGTGGACAACAAACACATAATATCCTAACGAATGCTCTGAAATTAAACAATAATATCTATTTAATAAATTATTTCAATAAATAATTATTATTCGGAATATTTATAAATATGAATTTTAAAAATTGCAAAGAGAGCATATTGATTGATAAATTCAATTGCATTTTTTATAAACCATAAATAATATGATTGATATGATAATGAAAAAAAATTGAGTGAATTATCACAATTCAATGAACATAAATAAATAATTGAATTACCATTAATAATATCATCAGTTTGCTTATAAATAAAATTGAACAGTCGGAGCTATTGATAAAATTCCTGCATGGAAAATGAATTATATACATATAATCCTTTTGAAAGTGAACGACTCCACTTGAAAAGTTTTCAATCATCTCCAAAACCATTTTTATATTAAAAATTTTTTGCGAATAAAAACATTTTTATAAAAAATTATCTCATTCAATAGCAAAAAGAAATTTAATAAATTACTTTTTATATCTAACATATTATTTTACACATCAAAAATAAAATGTACACTATGTCTGTTTTCGTTAGAATAATATAAGTTTTTCTATGAAATTTTCCTTATCGTTGATTAATTTCAATATTTATTCAATTCAACGATTAGAAGTGAATAAAAAATGTTGTTAATGATTTGCTTAGCTGATAAAACTGAATTCACTGACAAGCCAAAAGAAAAAAAAAAAAAAGAAACAACAAAACTAGAATGTAAAGTATCGTTGAGTCAAGTTCCAAAGAAATAAGTTTGTTGGTCGTAAAGATTAAACGAGAAAAAAAGTGTAGTTAAGCAAAAGAGAAAAAAAAGAAAAAAACTAAGAGTTCAACGTGATACTTTTATTTGATTGTAACACAAGGGTTGACTTTGGTGGCTCGTTTGCATGACTCAAACACACCTTTAGATATCAAGCTATATTAGTTTATTTTGTATGCTCCATAGACCATATTATTGGTATCCACGGTATTTATATTTACATAACCTGAATAATAAATTCAATCCAACACGCGATACATTTATTGTGAAGTTTAAGCGTGAAACAATAGACCTTAACAAATCAACTACTTTATAACTCATCAAAAGCTTGAATTCATCCTATTTGTTAGCAAACTGTTTCAGTATTATGTGAACAGTGATATAGATTATCTGACATCAATAACAAGCTGATTACATTGAATAGAAAAATTATTCTGAGAAAGAAAGAATATTATTTCAACTATTGCTAAAAAGGCTCTCAGAATAAAGACAATAAGCAAACAATTGAAGATGATAAATATTTGAGTGTCTATTTTAAAGCTCTTAACAGTAGTTACGTCATTAATCATCGCTAATCACATGAAAAGACTATACAAAACTGAGTGGATCCTTCAGTTAAATTCATGATATTATTTTCCATATCTCTTCTGTATCATCATTTTTATTCATCTTCCTTTCGTGCATCGATTTTATCTAATTTTTATTATTTGTTTATTAAAAGTATTTTATAGAAGTTGTCACGGTATAATAGTGATGACTAAACTTCAAGTATTGCCAGTCACCTAGAAACCATCATGACTGGCTGGTCTAATTATTCACTGATAAAGTTTTTAAGCTTTTGGTTTTGGATCCAGTTTCTTATCATAGTTGATTGCTACTTTAATAATATCACTGCTATTGTTGTCCCATCACATTCTGTTGAAATCATACGAATAGAGGATCCAAAGAATAGAGAGTTGATAGACAGTAGCAAGCAAAAGGTAGAGTATGATCCAGAAAGTTTATCACCAGTTCTAACATGTCTTCATTCATTTATGGAACTTTTCTTAAATAGACAACCATTGAAAATTACAATTTTGGTGACAAAGTTTGTTGATCTAGAGATGGAACGAATTTTTTTATTAGCAATTACAAAACATCGTTCAGCATCGGTGTTGTCTAGTGATATGGATTGGGAGACTTATGCTGAATATGAATTTAATATAGTGATATTACTTGAAACTCCTGAAAGTGTTGATAATATTCCTCATGACTTGGTCAATCTTGGTGATGATGATTGTCGATTCGCAGTAATAATAACTCAAAAATTTTCAAATGAAGAATCTTTTATGGATGCAGCCAGGTTTTTGGTCGTCAAATTGTGGGAAAAGAGAATAGCACATGTTGCTATCTTAGGTGTAATAGGAAAATCAATAGTTACAGCAAAAAGTACATCTTTTATACCAGTAGAATATCAACACCCATCAGAACCACTATTAATGGATAGATGTAACTCTACAAAAGATTGGGATGAATCGATTGATATTTTTGCAAGGATGGATATGAATAATTGTTCCATTCGGATAGGATACTTTCCTCGTGAACCTTATATTCGTATTGTAAATGACGACCAAGTGACTGGTTTGGAAGCATTAATTTTCAGCATTATAGCAAGGAAGCATAACTTTCATATATACATAGAGAAAATAGAATGGGAAAATGGTACAGCTGAAGAAGATATAGTTAAAGAAAAATTGTCTTATAATGAATCAATAGATATAATTCTTGGTGGAATTCTATGGGAACCGGTAGGATATGTTGACTTTACTATTCCCTACGACGTAGTTCAAGTAGTTTGGTTAATTCCCATGCATTCGAATGTCTCCCTCCGAGGTCTCGTAACTCCTCTTAGTACCAAAGTTTGGTTTGGAGTAATAGCTGTAATAATCTGTACTGTTGTGTTACGGATATTTTTATTCAAAGAAATATCACTACTGGAAATAGTAGCTCTTGTTATAGGAGTTGGATGGCCAAAACAACCGAAAAGAGATTCTTCAAGGCTTCAGTTCATTTCCTATGTTGTCTTTGGCTTCCTACTGGTCCAGTTCTACTTGGCTTCCATGGCTGGTCAATTTATGGCAAATGCTGATATTCAAATTGAGACCATGGGAGATTTAGTTTCATCTGGTTTACCATATGGTGGAACTAAAAGTCATCATTTGATGTTTCATAGTGAAAAAATTACAGAGGAAGAAGATCCACAAGGAACAGGTGTTGGTATTATTGAACGTATTGCTCAAAATTTTGTTACTTTTGATCAAGTTACTTACAATAAACTTTTAGAAGATTTGAATAATGGTAAAAATACAAGTGTAGCATTGACTGTTACTAAGAACGTTTCTTCAGTCGGTTCTAAATTTGATCATCATAAAGTTCATATTCTGAATGAAATTTTATATAGCTACCCTTTGGCATTTCCACTCTGGAAAGGTTTGCCATATTTAGACCGTGTCGATGATACCATCAGACGTCTCACTGAGACAGGTATTATACTTTATTTAGGTAGACTCACTTCTTGGGAAGATGGAGCCATCTATCATATTTATGAAGATATTCAAGATGATTCTAATCTGAGATTGAATGATCTAGCACCTGGATTTTTATTATTAATCATGGGTTATGGACTTGGTCTAGTGTCTTTGGCAGTGGAGATTGCTCTTAAAAAATGGGATACTCATCTGAAGAATAAACAGAAGATAAAAGATGAGAAAAAATTGAAAAAGAAGAAAAAGTTACGAGTAATATCAAATAGAAATTTACAGCAAAATTTTGTTAGGAAAAGTAAGGACAGGAAGAACACAGTAAGTTGGGACGTGATGGATAGTCGTCGAGTTATTGTTCAGCAAGTGATAAGACCCAATGTGAAAATAGGATATTATAAGGACATGTATTAGTTTTTATTTAGTTATGTAGTGTAACTGGAAGAAAGTTAGTATGTGAGAAGTACTGACGCGATATCTCAAGGGACAAAGAAAAGGTGAAAGATAAAGGATGTTAAGAAGCTGCAAGATATTTGGTATCTCTGAGGTATCAGCAATTTCTTGAACGCCGTAAAACGAAATTGCTTCCAAAAGTATTGAAATGGACCAAAGGAAGATTAGTAAAGGTTGAGTTTACGAGATGTTTGGTGAATGTATTCTCTCAAAAACTTTTATTTTAAGTCACTTGGGAAATTTGAATGGTGTGGTTATTATTGATTGACTGATATATGTATACGCATACATAAAAATCGTCGACCAAAAATGTTACTTCAATAAGACAGCACCAGAAATAACCATAAATCAATTTTATTAGCATTTTATTGAAGTAAAATGACCAGGAAAATTTCAAATAGTTTAACTTTAAATTCTCTAACTTTCATTGGTTTTTTGTGAGCATAAAAAACCATCCTTCCTAGGTATTGAAAAATTTACGAATTCGATGTATGATTTATTCAAATATGTACGAATTAATATCAATTGAATACATTTTATTGAAAATACAAAAATTAAATCCCGAATAGACTATTCTGTGAAATACAATGTATACCTCAGATAAAAATAGTGGAGAATGAATTTTATATTAAATTACAACTAGGAAATATAATGTTTATTCAACAAATAATTATGTATAAAGAAATATTTAAAATTGTTAAAGTTTTTATTCTAATGATTGATTGAAGTATTTTGATTTATTTTGTTGGTAAAAGTATTTTATTTATTTGCAGATTGATTCTTCAGCAAAGTCTTCAAAAAGAAATTTAAAATAAATTTAAAAAGTTTTTCAAGCTGGTTCTCTTGTTACTGATAGAAATGGAATTGTAAATATTTTAATCACAATTTTAGAATACATGCAACGATTTATTTCAATCTCTATCTTTACCGTCATTACACACGTAAAAAGAAGTGCAAGAAAAATAAGAAAAAAGAGATTGGAATAGAAAAAAAAAATCTAATTTATATAGACCATTCGTAGATTCTATTCTGACTGTGAAGCTTTCTGACTGTGTTCGTTGGTAGAAATTGGAAGTCGCTCGTCGAATTTTTTGTACGGATGAGAGAGTAAATCGTTGGGGTTGAACTAGAGTATGAAGAAAACGTGAAAAAAAAATAAGAAGGGAAAAGAGTGAGATTTTTTCCTTGGATGATTATCTAAAGGTGACAAATCGTCTATAAAAAAAAATATCAATTTCAAGTTGTGTAATTCAGAAAAAAAAGGAAAGGGAAATAGTAATTTTCTTTTT